CATCACCATCCCGTTCCCAGCTCCAGCAGCACGCCCAGGCCCTCCCAGGAACCTGGAATTACTTAGTGAAGCTCAGCAGGTGCCAGACTCCCTCCGGGCTTGCTTTTTCCTTGCTTTCCATTGAAATTTTCCAGCCAAAACATCCTCTTCCCCTGGGGAGCCTTGCAAAGAAAGATCCTTATCGCTCCGAGGTCCTTGTTGTAAGGAGGAGGAATGTGCGGGGTGGTTGGCGGCCGGGATTGCGAGGGACACGCTGTACAGTGGGGACATTGCCAGAAAGCCGGTCTATTTGGGAAGGAAGAGTGTGCCTGGAAAGCACAGCTCGCTGCACCACAGCACGGGGCCGGGATCTGCAAAGAGAGAGACGATTCAGAGAAAGCCTTGCCTTTGAGTGGGAAAAGAGGACGGGGGGGTAGCGCTGCCTAAAAGGAGGTAAAACCCTAGTAAAGCGGGGTGGGGGCTTTCATTTGGCTGGTAGCATCTCTTCTTCCCCATCGAGCATTGCCGTGGCAGCTTGCAGCGGCGGGGGGCAGCTGGAGAAGGGCTTTCACCATGGGCAGGGAGGTGGTTGGAGGCTCTGGGCTGATGCGGAGAATGACCCCGCTTGGAGGGATTTGTTCCCGCTGCCAGGGAGCTCTGTTCCAGGGAAAATGGTGGGGAGGGTAGTGGCAGCCAGTAACATCTGCTGCTCGGCGCTCGGATGGTGTCAACCAACGTCACATCTCTGGCAGCTCAAGGTGTCCTGGTGGCCAACAGCTCAGAGGCTTTCGCAGGGCTTGGATGTTTTTCTGGAAAAGCGGATTGTCCCCAGCTAGGTTAGATAAGGAGCGTGGCCTCTCCGTCTTCTGGAAGTTAAAAATATTCATGACCCAGGACATGCACCCTTTGGGGGAGGCTGTCCTGCAGCACCCGCTGGGGTCCGGCACCCGCTGTGGGTGCCAGGGGCTGGTGGTCCCCTGGGGGATGCTGAGGAGCCCTCCCTGCATGAGCTGGCTCCGAATGGTGCCATTCCCCACAGCCACGTCCCCCCCTTCCCAGCCTAAACCAGAAAATAACCACATGCTTAAACTCAGTTTGTATGTTCCCCACAATCACCAGGACTTTCTGTTGAATCTCATCCTGACCAGTTTAGGACTATGTCAGGGGAGTGAAAATTTGCCGTCTAAAGAAGCACATGTGCCTTTTTTCTCCATCTAACCTTGAAATCTCGTGCTCCAGGTGGCCAGCATCTCCCGAGCCGCTCGCAGGGCTCTCTTGCTTGGTCTGTTTGCCTGCTGTGAGGTGGGTGTTGAGAAAACCTCAGTGCTACTGCTCATTTCAGGCCAGTGCAAAACAGCTCCTCTCGGTTCCCAAGTGACTTCCATGAAAAACTTTTTCAACATCTCCCCCTATAAACACCTCTTCCCTATTGCTGATGGTTCAAAGAAAGCCCTGAACTGGTGACAGGAGCTGGGAACATGCTGTCCTGCTTGCTCGAAGCCAATGGTCCCTATCACTGTGTAATCTCATCCGGAGCAGTTACTCCAACGGTCGCAGTCTGCATCTCATCAGGGCCAGACAGATGCCTGTATTGGTTTGCTTTGGTTTTCTAAACCAAACTGATGTGAACAGTGTCTGTTTTGGTTGGGTTTGTTCCAGTTGTTTTGATCAAATGCTCTTGAGCTTTGTATTTGAAACCACCGAATTTGGCCCCAAGTTTGCCTTTAATTTGCAAAACCTGCGCTCGGAGCTGGGAGCGCTGTCTTCTCTGCGGATGGACGCAGGTTTGTCAGGATGCCTTTGGCACGGGGACGGAATACCTCACAGCATAACAAAGAAACAAAACTCTCTGATGCTCCTGCTAAGGCTAAAGCTCCTTCTGCCTGGCCGAAGGGGGAACTATTAAACGTGCCGCAGGCATCCAAAACCAGCGACTGTCAGAAGCATGGCTACTTCTGAGCAGCTTCCCTTTTTACTCATGGAAATGTTATTTCTGCCTCTTCCACATTTCCAAGAAGTTTCAGCTCTGCTGGAGCTGCTGGCTGCTCTGTCCTCCCACTCATACTGGTTTCTTTAATTTCCATGGTCCTCCCCGTCCTGGGAGGGGGTTACCAGTCCCGCTGAGCTCAGGGTGCTTGGAGACAGGGCTGCTTGTGCGGCAGTCTCGCCATGCCCTGCCCTGGCTGCCTGGCAGGTCCTGCAGGTCCCTTCCTAGACCTTGTCTTTAAAGGCAGATCCCTGAAGGGTGACAATCCCAGCTGCTCTTTTAAGGGACTCCAGTGACGAGAGTCCAAGTAGGAGCCAAGGAGACCTTGTCCCTTGGTATCTCCAACCTTGCTCAGGCAGGGTGGGTGGAAACGCGTGGGACATCGCCTGCAGAGCCTGCGTGGTGGAGGGACCCATGAAGCCACGATCCAGAGCCCATTCTTTGCATCAGGCCTCCTGACAAGGCTCATGCTACAAACACCTGAGCAGAAAGGCTCTGGAGCCAGTCCTCCGAGGTCCATGGCTCCCAGGTTTGCATGGTCTTTCTGGATATTTGCAATCAAACCTCCTCTTCCTCGCTAGTCCTGGCTCTTTCCAGCCTCTGTAGAACACAGAGGGACTTCTTGTGCGGGCACTGGCAGCGAGTGCCCTTCTCCAGGTATCTCTGCATCGCTCCATCCCTCCGTGCCGTGCAGGGAACCCTCTCCTTCTTCTAACTGTGCCCAGAAGCGAGAGCGCTGGTGTCTGCAGGGCAGCTTGGGCTCCCCTGTGCCTGGGGGAGCAGCCCCGTGGCTTTCAGAGAGGTTATCATCTCCGATGGCCCCCCCAGGACTGTGCTGCTCCTTTTCAAAGGGCTCTGCCAAAACCAGACTCACCTGGAAGCCCCCACCCGATTTCCGAGGCCGGCCGCAATACGAGCAGGCAATGGAAAGGCAGGCAGGGAAATGGAGTCACCGCGGCACGGGGAGGTCCTCGGGGGGTGCAGGCAGTGGGTGGGGGGAGCAGGGAGTGGCGGGTCCCTTTGGGCTCAGCCTCGGTCGAGCCGGGTGGAGGGAACACGCTCAACATCTGGCAAACGTCTGCAGCGGGCGGCTGCCGCCTCCTCTCCAAAAAAGCAAAGGTCAGCGCGGAAGGGCAGGGCGAACCCTCCCTCGACCTCCCTTCTCACCCCGGCCTCTCTTTTCCCTTTTTTCTTTTTTAGTGATACATTCTTCAGCCCAAACAACATTCTTGAATCGAGATTTGAGGCAATCTGGAGGGAGTCAGTCACTCGGAGACGACGCGACTGCCGAGCGAGACCCAGGGCTCTGCTGGAAATTCTCACTCG